GTTCGGGAGTTGGTTTGCAGTTCGGTAGTTGGTGAATTCGTGGGTTGCAGTTCGGGAGTTGGTTTGCAGTTCGGGAGTTGGTGAATTCGTGGGTTTGCAGTTCGGTAGTTGGTGAGTTCGTGGGTTTGCAGTCAGGTAGTTGGTGAGTTTGCAGTCAGGTAGTTGGTGAATTTGTGGGCTGTGCCCAGTTGGTGGAGTTCTGGTTTGCAGTCAGGTAGTTGGCAGAATTCGCTGTAGTTTTGCAGTTCGGGAGATTGGTGAATTCGTGGGTTGCAGTTCGGTAGTTGGTGAATTCGTTGGTTTGCAGTTCGGTAGTTGGTGAATTCGTTGGTTTGCAGTTCGGTAGTTGGTGAATTCGTGGGTTTGCAGTCAGGTAGTTGGTGAATTCGTGGGTTTGCAGTCAGGTAGTTGGTGAGTTCGTGGGTTTGCAGTTCGGGAGTTGGTTTGCGGTCAGGTAGTTGGTGAATTCGTGGGTTTGAAGTCAGGTAGTTGGTGAATTCGTGGGTTTGCAGTCAGGTAGTTGGTGAATTTGTGGGTTTGCAGTCAGGTAGTTGGTGAATTCGTGGGTTTGCAGTTCGGTAGTTGGTGAGTTCGTGGGTTTGCAGTCAGGTAGTTGGTGAATTTGTGGGTTTGCAGTTCGGTAGTTGGTGAGTTCGTGGGTTTTCAGTCAGGTAGTTGGTGAATTCATGTAGTTTGCAGTTCGGGAGATTGGTGAATTCGTGGGTTGCAGTTCGGTAGTTGGTGAATTCGTTGGTTTGCAGTTCAGTAGTTGGTGAATTTGTTGGTTTGCAGTCAGGTAGTTGGTGAATTCGTGGGTTTGCAGTCAGGTAGTTGGTGAATTCGTGGGTTTGCAGTTCGGTAGTTGGTGAATTTGTGGGTTTGCAGTCAGGTAGTTGGTGAATTTGTGGGTTTGCAGTCAGGTAGTTGGTGAGTTCGTGGGTTTGCAGTTCGGGAGTTGGTTTGCGGTCAGGTAGTTGGTGAATTCGTGGGTTTGCAGTCAGGTAGTTGGTGAGTTCGTGGGTTTGCAGTTCGGGAGTTGGTTTGCAGTCAGGTAGTTGGTGAGTTCGTGGGTTTGCAGTTCGGGAGTTGGTTTGCGGTAGTTGGTGAGTTCGTGGGTTGCAGTTCGGTAGTTGGTGAATTCGTGGGTTTGCAGTCAGGTAGTTGGTGAGTTCGTGGGTTGCAGTTCGGGAGTTGGTGAGTTCGTGGGTTGCAGTTCGGTAGTTGGTGAGTTCGTGGGTTGCAGTTCGGGAGTTGGTGAGTTCGTGGGTTGCAGTTCGGTAGTTGGTGAGTTCGTGGGTTGCAGTTCGGTAGTTGGTGAGTTCGTGGGTTGCAGTTCGGTAGTTGGTGAGTTCGTGGGTTGCAGTTCGGTAGTTGGTGAGTTCGTGGGTTGCAGTTCGGGAGTTGGTGAGTTCGTGGGTTGCAGTTCGGGAGTTGGTGAGTTCGTGGGTTGCAGTTCGGGAGTTGGTGAGTTCGTGGGTTGCAGTTCGGGAGTTGGTGAGTTCGTGGCTGTGCCCGGTAGTTGGTGAGCTCCGGGGTTGCAGTTCGAGTTGGTGAGTTCGCTGGTTGCAGTTCGAGCAGAGTCGTGGGCTGCAGTTCGGTAGTTGGTGAGTCTGCGGCTGCAGTTCCCGGTAGTTGGTGAGTCTCGGGTTGCAGTTCGGTAGTTGGTGAGTCTGCGGGGCTGCAGTTCGTAGTTGGTGGTGCCCGGGTTGCAGTTCGGTGAAGCGGTGAGTCTGGGTGGGTTGCAGTTCGGTAGGCTGGGCGAGTTCGTGGGTTTGCAGTCAGGTAGTTGGTGAATTCGTGGGTTTGCAGTTCGGTAGTTGGTGAGTTCGTGGGTTTGCAGTCAGGTAGTTGGTGAATTTGTGGGTTTGCAGTTCGGTAGTTGGTGAGTTCGTGGGTTTTCAGTCAGGTAGTTGGTGAATTCATGTAGTTTGCAGTTCGGGAGATTGGTGAATTCGTGGGTTGCAGTTCGGTAGTTGGTGAATTCGTTGGTTTGCAGTTCAGTAGTTGGTGAATTTGTTGGTTTGCAGTCAGGTAGTTGGTGAATTTGTGGGTTTGCAGTCAGGTAGTTGGTGAATTCGTGGGTTTGCAGTTCGGTAGTTGGTGAATTTGTGGGTTTGCAGTCAGGTAGTTGGTGAATTTGTGGGTTTGCAGTCAGGTAGTTGGTGAGTTCGTGGGTTTGCAGTTCGGGAGTTGGTTTGCGGTCAGGTAGTTGGTGAATTCGTGGGTTTGCAGTCAGGTAGTTGGTGAGTTCGTGGGTTTGCAGTTCGGGAGTTGGTTTGCAGTCAGGTAGTTGGTGAGTTCGTGGGTTTGCAGTTCGGGAGTTGGTTTGCGGTCAGGTAGTTGGTGAATTCGTGGGTTTGCAGTCAGGTAGTTGGTGAATTCGTGGATTTGAAGTTCGGGAGTTGGTTTGCAGTTCGGGAGTTGGTTTGCAGTTCGGGAGTTGGTGAATTCGTGGGTTGCAGTTCGGTAGTTGGTGAATTCGTGGGTTGCAGTTCGG